GAGGCCTCGAGTGTGTGCCGTGCCCTGCGGCCCCGGGGCGCTCGCAGGGTTGGCAGGCTGAGGCAGCTCGCCCGCAGTAGGAACTGAAGGGGCTTCGCATCCCATTTTAGAGGTGTTTGTTGAACGTACAGAGCGTGAAGGCGGACTGGGCCCCGCGCTGGCGGTGAGTGTGTGACTCAAACCTGCACAGTCCACCCAGTCCTCCTCCAGGACTACATCTTCACAGAGGGTGAACTGGTCTTCCAGCCTGGGGAGACCCGAAAGGAGATACAGGTCCCCTTGCTGGAGCTGACTGAAATAGACACCCTCCTAAACAACTACCAGCTCAAGCAATTTGCCATTGACCTCATCCATCCCAAGTATGGTGCCAAGATCGGCGGATACCCCCAGACCACGGTGACCATCGCTGAGGGGTGGGCTGAGGGTACATCCAGGCCTCGTGGGCAGAGTCTGGTGCAAGCCTTTAGTGACTCACGTATCCTAAAAGAAGACTAAAGCTGTTTCAGACAGCAGTATAGGGCTAGGATTCTTCACTCTACACCTCAAAAGCTCTGTTCAAACAGCTAAAAATCTCTCTTCGTCTGTTCTTCTGTTGAAGTAAAGAGAAGTTGCACGCCAGCATGAGTCATTTGCCTCGAACTGAAGTGCCCTGCTGTGGTGCTCTGGCCATTTTTTATTTCTGCCCAAGTCTTGCCATTGCCATACAATCTGACAGTCAGGCACTGCTGCACTTCATTTCTTCATGACTTCTTCTACATCTGACTTCTCCCCTGCTGCTCCTTCGGCTGTGGTGACATTCCTTCCTCATCCCCATGCTCTGCACTGTGGTTGGGGGAGGACAGATGGTGTTTAAAGGCAGTGGAAAGCAGGATAGTGGGGAATAAACTGCTTCATCATACCAGTAATGAGTGTATTTGTTTGCATGCAAAACCTAAACCTGCACAAAGACAGGAGTTTGCATAAGCTAAATTTTAACCTGTTGGAAATGAGAGGTTCCTCTACAGTACAAATTGAGGATTATCTACAGTTGGCTGTCTAGGCTGGCTGCCCTGTCTGGCCAGTGGCTGGTGAACTGAGGCTCACCCGGGCAGCGTCGGAGCTTTGATCTGAGAAAGCAGCAGGGTAGCACTCTGAGAACAGAGGTGTGTGCTTGAAGTGTGTGTTACCACATTTTAAAAGTCAAAGCATGTAATTCTACTGCTTCCATACTCCGATCAGAAGTTATGACTACAGTCGGGGTTTACTGTTTTAACTTAGCATCAGCTTTCTTTGAAACACAGACCTATCTGTGTTTAGTATTGTGTCTGTTAAGGGGTAATGGATTCAGATTGGGGGAGGGATATTAGGAAAACGTTTTTTCCTGTGAGGGTGGTGAGACACTGGCACAGGTTGCCCAGGGAAGTGGTGGCTGCACCAAGCCTCCCGGTGTTGCAGGCCAGGCTGGATAAGGCCTTGAGCATCCTGATCTAGTGAGGAGGTGTCCCTGCCCATGGCAGGGGCTGGGACTGGATGATCTGTAAGGTCTGTTCCAACCTCTAAAATTCTATGATTCTGTCAACATTATCAATTCAACTTTGAGTTTTGCCATTTTCTGATTCCGGACACTCTTTTTTATTTTCAAAAAAGCCTTCAGAATAGTTTTAATTGCATAAAACTACATTCCAGAAGCACCTGTATGACATGTAGATCTGTCCAGCTAAGGACATAGTTAAAACAAACACTGGTGTGCTACCTTGCAAACTCAGGGGAAAGATTTCTTCAGTTAACAATGACCATGTAACAAGGGAGATCTGTGCTCTTGTGAGATGACTTCATAGCCAAGGTGTTGAATTGTCAGTGATAACTGCTATATTAAGGAAATTTAGAACAAATAACAGTGAAGATGACTCGTAGTGGCTTACTTCATACGCTTCTGCCTGTAGTTTAGCTGTGTCATGTTATCCCACTGCACAGAAGACAACAATTCTGGGTATGTCATAAATGAGGACTGAACAACATTTTGTTTAGCTGCACAAACTTTGGGATCATCCACTTGTCATTTTAATTAGCATGTGAAATAAAGAAAAAAATGTGTTTGTTATATGCAGAAACTTCTAATTTTTTTTTAGTTATACATCTCCCCTGAGAACTATCCCATAATAACGTGCATCATTTAGCTTACATGTAATTTTCAATGCTGGTTACAGACGAGTGACACCTAGCTGAAGGGGGAAGTACTTTGAATATGCACAATCTTCTGGTTTGTATGCATATTCAGATTTCCATATGCAGTTGGATATTTGCGTTTTGAAATATGTTTCTTGAGTCCCCAAAAATCCGAAGTACAGTGTGTAAAATACACTGTCTATACTGCAAGGGGACTATCAGAATTGAAAAGGGAAGTATTTTTCAAGTTTCAGGCCCTCATGAACACGTTTAATATGTTGCAAAGAATTAAACACAGTTTACCTGTGCAAGTCCTCAGATATACTGAGCAGAAAGATTCTGTTCTGCTGAGCACTGTGTTCACCCCATCCCATGCCAGGGGATACCATCACTTCCCTTGAGCTCTGGCACGTTCTCAATTCACCATTTTGACCTTAGTGAGGGGAATGTTTGGTAACTGTGTTGCTTAATCTTCTAACAAAATAACTATTAGAGGATCTATATCTCTGGATCTCACAGATTATGTCAGTATTAAAACAATTTAAAAAATGGAGAGACTTACAGAAAAATAGGAAGATGTTATTTTAATTAAGCAAAAACAGAGTTATAATCACTCTCTCTAAAAATAAAATTAGACTCTTTATCAATCCTTAACATCTGCATTTAATATTTTCTTCTAAACAAAAATACAGATGCGATTATGTAGCAAATTACAGTCTTTGACAACGTATAGTATTTACCTTCTCTTACACTTACTTTAATTCTAATTTGGTCATTAATACTTGATTCATTACTGCAACATGTTACTTGTAGTAAAAATGCCACAATTGAACTATAAACATGACATTGCCATCTTAAAACTGCTTTGCTATAAACTGTAGATAATATACAGAGTTACAAAGTTGTGTTTTTATCAAAATATACAAATCCCCCCAAACCTAACACAAGCTACCAATAATTTTCTTATGAACTATATAGTTATAGAAAATATTTGTAAAATCATCTTTGTATTTATAAATATTCTACCTTATTTGCTTTGGTCTATATTTATCATCATACAAGTCCACTTAGAAGATATCTTTGTGTACTTTCATAAAAACATCATTATACTCTCCTGTGTTTATTATTCTGTTATCCTTATTTAAACGGAACCAAAGCTGCCATGAAGCCAGAACTTCTCAAGGGGCTCACAGCATTCACCAGTGACAGAATAAGTAAGTGGACTATATTACGACTTAATCTATACTGTATTATCGTTTCGTTTGTAGTTTTATTGTACTCAAGCTATATTTTCTTTTAAAATATTCAAGAAGACAAAGTTAAGTAACAAACTGTGAACCACCACGTAGAAGGACGTTGAGGATCACCAACCCTTATCCTGACTTAATTTCTTAACACTTCACAGGGATGAACATACATGACTAATTGGAAATGCCAAAACAGTACAACAGAGCCCTATCATATAAAATGCAGCTTGTAGGCATACCCCTGCTCTGACTCAACATCTCAGTTAGAACTAATCACCTTTTCACAACACAATACTAATTTCAGTATTTTGGTGATGTCTTTCAGAAGCCCATTCTACCGACACTTGGCTAACTGTGAGCCCTAAGGCTCAGCATTACCTCTTGGTGTGGCAGGATGAGGGAGGCAGAAAGGTCAATGCTCCTTCCTCCAGCAACCTATTCCAGGCACCTCTCTGCTCCAGGCCTGCTGTGCTGGGCACGGGACACTGCGACAAAGCCTGCCTGGGGTCAGATGTTGGCATAATTGGTGGGATCACTGAGAAGGGATATCTGAAGGTTAAATGTTGCATTTAAGGCATGGGGATGACAGGGAACCCCACAAACTGGACCTATCGCTTTTTATACACAGGGATTGATTGCCTCAGGGATATGGAAGCAAGAATCAGAGTGTTCACCTACTCTTCTCAAAACTGAAGTATTTATGGGGAGTTGCTCTGTTGTTTGTGTCCAGGCATTATTCCAGGATGAGGAGGAAGACTGTCTACACTTCCTCTTCTTCTGCTAAGAAGAATGGTATTTCTAGAAGACAGGAGTTGCAGACCCACCAGGAGGTGGATGTTTCTATACAGGAATCATTTAAGCTAAGCTGTTTCATGAGAACAACTTTCTTTAGACCAATGCACCTGAACAGCTCTCCAGGCCACTGACATGGGGATTTATGCAGTTTGGAAGACTGGCTATAGCAAGTTCCACCGAATCTTTATTAAATGTCTCAGAGATATCATAAATCTGGAATACTATTGACACAAGCACTCAGACTTAACAGTGATTATGGTAACTACAAAACTGAATATGGAAAGGAAAAGAGTAGCTTTAAGTCCTGAATGTGTTTTGTAAATGTTGAATTACAGAAAAGCATGGCAGAACTCAACTGTACTTCAGCACACCTGAGCCCATGAAACACTTTCCACCTTCACTTTAGAATACACTAGATTACAATTATTTCCTTTATAAACACATTACTTTGATAAAAAAATGCAATATATGGTTTCTGCAGAAAAAATCCTTCTACAGAACATACCATGAACCTACTTATTTTTTTTTGCCTAGAACAATTCTGTCTCAAAATCAGCACTGTAAAATAGTTCAGTGACTGAGTTTACTGTAATGTGAAGTAGAAGGGTTTTGCTGTCATTTTTTTTCTTTCTCTCTATGTTAAGAGTCTATTGTGGCCAAAGTATCTGGGGTGTTTCACATTAAATTTGTATTATTGCAAATACTAGATTTTCTCTGTTATTTTTCCTTCTTTTGCATATATTGACACACATGAAGAAATATGATCTTAGTAAATGACACTAGTTTGAGATGTGGAGATGTTTCCCCATTCAATGCATCTGTATCTTCTCCAATATATAGTTTTGGGTTTTTCTTCTCTTTTGCACAATTGTTACTCAGAGTATAACTTCTGGAATTGCATTTTGCGTATTTTTTACTTCGCTTCCTTCTGAGCCAGGGAAATGTGGATTTTCCAGAAGTTTAGTGCTTTCACTGCAAAACTGTTCTTTTCTATCTTGTGGACTTTTGAATAGATGTTTCTTCTGGTGCATTCCCAGAGCAGCTGCTGTCTTGCAAATTTTGGGGCACTGGAAGCAAGCGTATCCTTTCCCATTATGCTCACGCACATGCCTTTGCTCGTGGTTCCTTTTGGTAGAAAGGTACAAGAAGCTCTGGAAGCAGAACTGACAGTGGTAGCGTTTTTCTCCAGTATGAATTCTTTCATGTATTTTGAGTGTTTCATTTAAAGTGAATGCCTTATTACAGTACTGGCAGACAAAATCTTTGACACCCAGGTGGATGCGTTCATGTTTCTGCAGATTTCCATGAACTGAGAAACATTTACCACAGGTTTTGCAAGTGTAGGGCTTTTCCCCAGTGTGACACCTCATATGCATTTTTAAACTGGATGGACTTGGAAATTGTTTTTGGCATAACTTACAATTGTAAGGCTTTGAAGTAGCTCCATGCCAGTGTATGTGTTCTTGAATTTCTGCTGTGGAAGACTGATCTCCTTCACAGAGCTCACAATGAAGACTGGGCATTTCTGCGTTCTCTTCTTGGCTGACTGTCTTCTCCTCAGGAGAATTCCTGAGCACGTACTCTCGACTGCATGTGTTGTGGCTTTCCATAATGGGGCTCCTGCTCCCGTGCTTTTTCCTCCATTTGGTCTTTTTCATTTTTCTTAGCTGTTTGGATTTCTTTTTTGGTTTGTAATTGTAATAGGGTCTCCAGGGTTTATCACTGGAGTCCTGGTCACTTAGATCATCACACATTTCTGTCAGCTCCAGGCATTCTGAGCTATGGAGTCTAGTTTGGCTTCTTTCTTTTACCTCCATTTCTGGTTCCTCAATTAGACTGTCCTGTTTGGACTCATGTTTAGATTTTCGACCCCTTTTACAGAACAGCTTAGATCCTAATATGTGTCTCTTTACAATAGCTTCGTTCCCGATTTTTACGGTGATCTGACACAGAGGCGCGACGTTGCTGTCCGTGGACGTCCCGGGTAAGGCAGGCTTTGCAATGTACGTCTCGGTTTTACTCGATTCTTGGACAGCATTTGTTGTTTTGCTAGATGAACCTCCAGGTCCTGTGATGTGCTGTGTATCCTCAGCTGCTTCTGCCCGGCTGTACAGCAGTGCTTTCTTTTTCTCCTTAACAGTTTTTGATTTTGTAATGCACTTCCCATAATTATCTGACCCACACTTACTGTCATCACCCACAGACTGACTGGGCAGGTTACTTGATGATTCTGTCTTGCTGTTTTCTATAGAAGTGACTGTTTTACTGTGCATTATGACTGATGAAACTCTGCTACTGTGCATTATAACAGAGGGTGCAGAACTGCTGTAACTGATGACAGAGGTTGAATTTTCATTCACAGTAGTTGAAGATACAGCTGAGGAATCACGCTCCTGAGAACCAGAGTCATTGGCAGCAGTGGAAACTCTTTTTTCAGCTGTGAAAAAGTCCCTCTGCAAGTCAGAATTTAAGATACCTGCTCCCCAAGAGGAAGAATTCTGAGTATTAGTGGAAGATGCTTTATCGTTACATGAAGATGTATCCAAGGCAAGAGTTCTGTTGTTTGCTATTATACTATGTTGAAAATTCAGTGGTGGTAGCTCAGAGCTAAGAGTACTTGGAATAAAACAGTTAGTAGAAGCAGTCTCATTACCCTGGCTACTTGTTTGAACATTTTCATACGAAGAATTTCGGTAGGACTTATAAGGCAGCTGCCTGCACTTCATAGGTAAAAGCCGATACAGTTTGTACGGGTACATACTCGATTTCAGACCTCCGTTGGCTGTCTTTTTGTTTACAGACAGACGATGGTCAATGGCATGGAAAGACTTCTGATGATTTTTCAGTATATAGTAAGTCATGAAAGTCTCCAGACAAAAGATGCACTGATACCGTCTCTCTCCGGTGTGCCAGATCTCGTGCCTGGTGCGATACTCGGCCAGCGCGAACACTTTATTGCAGTAGTGACAAGGGTATGTTCTTCGCCAGGAATGCACATTTGCATGTCTTCGAAGGCTGGACAATGTCACATAACTACGTTTGCAAACGATGCAAGTGTATAATATCTGCCCATCAACGACTTTAACCAAATGATCTGTTTCTGGTAAAGTGCAGTTTGCATTAGAATAATCAGTGATGCTGTTTTCAGGCAACAGAGGCTCTGTGTTTGTATAAGAACTTTCATTCCTTCCCTCTGGAGCAGTATAGTTATCTGCAAAATTCTGTTCATTTGCATTGTGAACCGATAAGCTGTTTGATCTTTTGCAGACTTGTTCATGACTTTCCAGTACATTTAGATTTGCAAATTGCTTGCTGCAGTATTTGCATATGAAAGTTTCCTGATGCTCTGAATGGAGCTGAAGGTGAGCAGTGAGTGACGCCCTGTCGTTGAATGATTTTGTACAAGAGTTACAATTGTAAACAGGTGGAACAACAGTTGTCCCAGATCCAGAGATGCTAGCAGAATTATCTTCCTCTTCTCTGGGTAAAGGGAAATCTCCTGCTTGATTTTGAGGTTTTGGACAGGAAGTAATTGTCTGATCAGTAACTGTTTTGTGTTGGGCTTCTGTAGTGGTTACTGTAGAGACTGGTACTTTTGCTACAGCCAAACCAGTACCCTGGGGCTTAAAGGCAGGCTTAGGAGTACTACCTGCTTGTTTTCCCTGCTGAATGACTGGGGTGGCTTGGTGACTTTCATAGTGGCCCTCACCTGCCCTGTATGAAGGGCTGCTGTCTGGCTCAACAAAAGGTGCTCCTTGTGAAGTATCTCCCCCGGAAGAAACCGCATAGGAGTGTTCAGCCAGGGTACTGGCTGTCTCAGCATCCTTGGAAACGCTGCTTCTGTCGAGGCTGGGGTTGGGAACTTGTATCGTGTCAGACACCTTTTTAAAGCTGGCCCTCAAGTCAAGTGGAGAAAACAAACTGTTTTCTGTTTCAAAAATTGAGAATGCATTTGTAATTCGTGGTCCATTTGTCACAGCAGAGTCTTCATGTCTCTTTTCATGTCTTTCCTCTTTAACAGTCCCTTTTTCACTAACACTGTATGCGTAGGGGCAGGGGGAGCTCGAAAAGTTTACATCTGTAAGATCTTCTAGAAATGATATTCCCAGTTTTTTCCCTGCAGCCGCAAGGTCCGTTACAGTCTCCTGCCTCTTAACAACTACTGTGGAACTGTAGATGTAATTCAGTATTTCTGTAAACACTTCAGCTTTGAGATCATCTAACTCCAGTACATGACCTGAAATACAGATAGTACGACTCCAAAAAATGTTTTTAAAGTAAAGGCTTGAAGCTGCCAGCACATTACTGTGGGCTTTAAATTTGGTATCTTCCACAATTATGGTGACATCACATAAAATACCCCGAATGCGCTGTTCGTTTAAGATGGAAAGCACAGTGTCACTGTGGAAGTCGTCCTTGAGATCCTTGGAATGCGACATGACTGTCATCTGCAAGAATAAAAATATTTAGAAGGCATTTTTCATTCATTTCAGTTACAGATCAAGTTTATAGTTCTATATCATTCTGTATATTTTTGTAAGTTATTAACTTCAAAATTTTAAGAATGAGTAAAATTTTCTCACAGCATTTCAGGTTAAAGTCATCTTATGTTCACTGATACCACCACTACTGCAGGAAATCTCCATACAGATCACGGAGGCAGGAACACCAGGAGCTCCTCAGCAGGAGGCAGAGGATCTCTTCTGTACCCACATGGGTCTGTCACCCACTCTGTGCCTGTCACTGGGGGCTGTGGCCACCAGCCTTCTGCTGTGCCAGCAAGCGCACCCACCCAGGGTCCCTGAGCCCTGGAGGAATTCCCTGACACGCAGTAGAGGGATCTGCCAGACACAGTGGGGAAGGCTGAATTGCTGTGGTTCTGTGGATACGAAGGACTTTGTTTTCTGGGGCTCTTTGTCAGACAACGGCTTCACAACACAACTGCATCTGATCTCCTTGCTAAGGTGGTATTTAAATCACATGCAGTAGAGTTTCCATTACAGCCTAAGGGTTTATAAACAAATGAATGCCCAAGGAAAACAATTTGGTAAACACCTTGGAGGACGTATAGCACTGTTTATGTGAATGGAATAGTTTGAATGCCAAAACAATTTGGTAAACACCTTGGAGGATGTATAGCCCTGTTTATGTGAATGGAATAGTATTTTTTAAAATCATGACCAAATTTTATTAGATAGTTTACAATAACTTAAAATGACTGAAATTTGCTAGTAAAACAAGTAGAGAGCAATAGATTTTTTTCTTCAGTTATAGTTTAGATTTAGTGTTCACACTCTATAATTTGAAACAATTTGGTAAACACCTTGGAGGATGTATAGCCCTGTTTATGTGAATGGAATAGTATTTTTTAAAATCATGACCAAATTTTATTAGATAGTTTACAATAACTTAAAATGACTGAAATTTGCTAGTAAAACAAGTAGAGAGCAATAGATTTTTTTCTTCAGTTATAGTTTAGATTTAGTGTTCACACTCTATAATTTGCTAGTGTGTTTTTCATTTCTTCCAAATAGTCAGATTTAATTGCAATAGTAGATACCATTAAGTAACTGCCAATGTACAATAATGAGGCTGAATGCTGACAAAAAAAGGTTTAGATTAGCAGGCTGTTACTGTATGAATATACTGGCTTGAGATAAAAATACGCAAAATACGAATAAAAAATAGACTGAAAAACTGGATGAATTTGCAGTATGTATCTGGAGAAAATATCTGCCTTAAGATAATTGTTTTGTTGGAATTCATATAATGAGGTTTGTCCCTTTTTTCCCATCTCTGAGTAGTGTTTTCAACTCCTACTGCCCATTTCATGAAGAAAATTAATTGCAGTTATTAAAGACCCTTTTCTTTCAACTTGGAGAATCAAAAGAAAATTACCAACTACAGATATTTTCTAAGACAGGTTAAAATAGTACAACACTGTAGTTCTAGGTTAGAAACACTTTCTACACATTCCACCTCCTGCTCCAATCTTCGGTGTCGAGCTTGAAAAATTTTATGATGACCCTTATCTTCAAATAGTTTACATTAAGAATGCCAATATATTTATTGAGATGAGTTTGATCCAAATGACAAAATAAAGGTTTGACCCATACAAACAGCAAACAGCAAAGGCCACTTAGAACACATTGGTTCTCCCACCCAAGCTAATGGGAAATGATCCTTTCTGGAAAATAAGGTGTTTATCACTAAGTAAAGTAACAGAGGGCATACACCCTGCTCTAACTAACCTAATGGCACTTAGGACACTGCATCACAAATCCACTGACTACTTCACTGCAAATCAAACTACACAAAAAGCAGCAACAACCGTACTGCAAAGACAAACACAATGTGCTATGAACAAGACCATGATTTGGTACACTGTGGATGAAGCTTGGAAACAAAATTTGTAACCTGCAGCACAGCCACTGCTTCTATTAGGACAGTGTTTGTCTACACAGATGGTAGAACTTCTAATACAGTTTAATGGCTGAGAAGAACTCAGAACAATCAAATTTGTGATTCACAACAAAACCTCTGATGCTTACATATGCCTTGGGTGTCAAGAAAATAATTCATCAGTATAACTGTGATAGATACATAGATGTATATTAATCTGATTATCTGGTCAGTTGCAGCAGCTGTAAATCTAGATGCATTGTTTTGTGCCTTTAAATCTTAAAATCATAGTTTATGATGGGCTTGTTTATAACACTTCTTTGGCTTAAAATAAGAGGCATTTACTTATTTGGAACAATAACCTGAAATTCACAGCAGTTACGTGTGGTTATCTGCTTTGGTCAGGATCTGAGAACCCAGATATAACTGTAGATAGTTTCTGGCATATGGAGTCTTTTACAGAAGGCATACTGACAAGAACACTTTTCTTCCAGCAAGCAGCCATTATCCCATAATTGACTCTTTTTTCTCATTGACAATGTCTGAGATTACATCTGACTTGCTCATGTGATGTGGTATTAGCAACCAACTGTCAGACATCAAAAACATTTCACAACAGGAGCTATTGATAGGGTTATTTCCCGAGTATAGGAAACAAATGATGTCAACTCTACCTCCCAGTGAAATGCCCCACAGGAACTTGCCTGTGTTTTTTCTGTTTCTTTATTAGAGACAGCTGGTTTTAATTCAAAGACACATCATCTGACAGACTGTTTGCTAAGTGTATCAGACTGCTACTGCTATGCTGAGAGCCATACAAACCCATGTGGGTTTAGTACAAGCTTTATTATTCAACTAGTTATTTCAAAATTTATCCTCCTAAGGACAAAAGTGAATATTTTAAATTTCTACCTGCAAGTACAGAGATTGCCAGTTTTTGTAGTCTGGATATTTTGGTATGCTTAGTAAAGTGAATATTTTAAATTTCTACCTGCAGGTACATAGATTGCCAGTTTTTGTAGTCCTGGATATTTTGGTATGCTTAGTCAAATAACAAACTAGATTCCTGGTGTCAACACGGTAGAAACTGTCATTTGCTATTTGGCCACTCAATACTTTTTTTCCTGTGTGTTAAACCATATGCTACATATCTCATTCGAAAGTTATAAACTCCTGAGCTAACTGGTTTTCAAAGCAAACAGTTTTTGCTTCTCCATCTCAACCTACGCATTCCCCAAATAGTCCATTTTTCATGTCTGTAATGATTCTATTTTACCTGTCTTTCTTCTCGCCTCTTTCTAACATTTCAGACACATTTTTCACAATCAAAACGCCCTGCCCAGCACACAGATAAATGGAATATTTTAGGACTGTTTTACATTCCATTTGCAGTTCATACAGTAGAATGAATGCCTGCTCTTCGGTTCCTAAGGGAGCACCACCAACACCAAGATACACAGAGATCAAACTTCTCAGGTATATTATTATTAAATATTTTTTACCAAAACACTGGAAAATCTGTTTGGAATGTAACTGTTCTTCTGTATGATCTGTATTATAGTATTATGGAAGAAATTATAGTCTAATTTATAAGTATTTCCCAAAACACACGTAAATACTATTTGACCTATTAAAGGACAACAAAACTCGTCAGCTAAGTCATCCTTTTTTGACACAAATATGTCTACTATTTTGATACTTTTGACTCTCAATCCAGACATAAATAATTTCCCAGGAATCTGAACAGTACCTCTGTAGTATAACTGAATGGTCATTGGTGCATCTATGGATAACTTAAGGTTCTGAACAGCAGAATTTTTCATTGGGAGTTAGAAAACTATTTGCATATTTTCTTCAAAAACATTAACAGACTTAACCCATCATTAAAAGCTGTTGAATCACTTTGAGAAATGAGATTTAAATATTCAACTGAAACTTAAGTGTAATGGTAAGTAGGTTGATGAACTTATAATGGTACCTTTTCTGACATCAACAGAACATCACTCCAGGACGACAGCCATAGTTTAAGATAAGTAATACTAAAAGTTAATGTTGAGATCAGAGACTGATGCATCCAAACACAAATTTGACTACTCACACCTCACACTGCTAATTACAAATACTAGCGCAGACTACATGGACACTGCTGAGCTAAGAAGCTCAGCAGTTGATTTTTATATACATGGACACTGCTGAGCTAAGAAGCTACTGCTGAATAATGCTTTGAAGTCAACAAATATCACCAGAAGTTTTGCTGTTCAATGAATGCCAAATATAAGTATTTTTACTACCAAAGAGAACTGTTGCAATCTAGGAATATTCTTTTAACTTCTGCTAAACTTTTCAAATCTACTGCCAGTCAAGTTTACCCCATTACATACGAGAACAGATTCTTTTATTGCACTTTGGTCAGCTAAATTTCAAAGACAAATGAGCGGCATAACAAAAAAACCAATTCAAAACATTAGGGGCAGTTGCTAGTATCCAGGCAAAATAAAAACCAGCAAGATAATTGATGAACTGTAGTAACACTTCTCCTCGTTTTCTTATTCCATAGATTTCTACTGGGATTTTAAAGATGCTAGTATTTTCTGATACTTACCAACAAGATACTATGGAAAAGGGTTCACACCATGATTTCCTTGTGTTGTTTCACCCCACTCTGTTCCCCTGCTGAGAAGACACACTGACCTGTACCTAGCTCTCCTGCAGGGTGCTGTTCTTAAGAGCAGAAATGGGGCACCACCACCAAACAAAAAGACTCAAAATAAGTCCACTTCCCTCCCCAACCCCCCAGCCCTGACCCTTGCTTACCTGGAAACCTACAGTCCAACATCACTGTTATGGTGACAGCCCAGTTTTTAGGGAATGACTTTGCAAGTCCCACCTGGGCCGTATGGCTACAGGGCTGTCTCCACCAGGGTCCCTGCAGCCTCCTTCCCAGCTCGGGCACACAGGAGCATTTCAGTGAGTCTAACGATGTTGAGCAGCTCGCGGGAACATGTGGGTTAGTGCTCCAGTCTATGCAGCTACACGTTATTTCTGT